ATGTACTACGTTTCACAAGTTCTTTTTAGCATACCAGTGACGCTCGATTTTCGTTTGGATTGATATTGTGGTGCTCTAGTCGCTGAAAGTTGAACAGTATCGTTACTCAAAAATCCGATCATTAAACCATTACATCAACCTTCTGTGAAAAAGCACTGATTACTGACACCACTTTGTCTCTCAACTCAAATACGCATTTTTCCGATTGGAAGAGAACTTTTCACATGTCATGGATCAAAACTCATTACATCTCCTGGGGCAAACAAAACTCACTAACTTCCTAACAACAAATTTTAACTTTTGACTCGCTCGTGATTTAATTTGGTCCTGCACCTTGAAACTTCTCAAGGGCTTCAGTAGTGTTACTAAGGAACCCATTCACTCATGGCATCTTGAAGCCGAGGAAAATTTGTGTGTCAGCCAGCGTCAAGCAAATTTTTTTCTTTTTGTTTTTTTTCTCAAATTTTGTTTTCTTTTTGAGTTGGGAGGTATAAGAAAACTTAGGTTTGAGGAAAACAGCGAGTTTTGTTTCCCCTCCGTCTCGACCCTTAATTTTCCCGGAGGCGAAGCTTCGGGGAACTTGAGGATCTCGGCGTCAAAAAAGCCCACTGTTTCCATGGGGCCCGTCTTTAACTGAAGGGCGTAGTGCTTCTAACAACCCATTGAATCACTCAACTTCCTGTGTTTCTAAAAATTATAAATATAATTGTAAGAATTTATGTGAGAGTTTTTTTGATGTGTTACGACGGTAAAAGATAAATATTTCGTGATGACGGCGCGAGCGTGTGTGTATATATGGATATTTAACTCGTGAGTTTCGATCAGTTTAATTATCCCCTGACTTAGGCGGTTGTTGTAAAGACTTCTTTCGATATTGAAAAAAAAAAACCACTGCAGATTCGTGAGAACAATATGTGAAGTAGCTCCCTGGAGAATCAAATCAGAGATCTGGCACAGGGCTTCAAAATCAAAATTGTGCAAGTTCTCTAATGTCCTATATTCATCACGTAGGGCATATAAGCACATTCTAGCGACTCCGATGGGGTCGCTAGGTATCAAACCAATTAGCTTTCATACCTAAAATTTTATGACACTTGAATGAAGATTACTATTTTTTATTATTATTTCTTCACAACTTCACAAGAAACGCTCATAAAGATGGCAAAAAATATTTTGGAGATCGTAAGGTTTAAATGGAGGCATGGATTCAAAATAATCGCTCTCATCTGTTTGATTTTTAGCATAAAAATGCTCTACGAGAGCGACAAAAATGGGTATTTCCACACCGCTGCCAAAGAAATTCAAAATCGTATTCATACTCAAACTCCTAGCATCTCATCGATCACACTGTTCGTGAGGATGGCGGGCAAACTAAAACAACACAGGACTCGTTTCTACTGTGATCTTTACAGGACTGCCGTTCTCTTCTGGCCTGCATCGTTTGGAAAGACAGTCGTAGTTCTTGATGAAGAATCGGAGCAGGATCGTATTTTTGCCAATAACTTAACAATTCAAATCAAACAACACTTTCCAGATCGCAAACTTGAGGTGGCCTTCGAGCCGTTACCCAAAGACGCAAGTGTTTTAAAGTTCAAGGGTGCTCGAAAATCTCCGGGTTACAACCGCCAACTCTGGAGTAGTTTCTTTATTGATCTACATACAAACGATCCCATTATAGCATGGATGGATAGCGATGTTGCGTTTCTGACACCAGTGACAAAAGCAACCATATTTAACGGCTCAAGGATACGCATCCTGGGTTCTGAGTGCTCTATGAAAATCAGCTGGGTGCGAAACTGGGCGCGTGTTACCGAAAGCGCACTTGGGTTACCGATGGTGGCAGATTTCATGACGTATTTTCCTGTCTACATTTACCGCGACACTTTCACGC